GAAGTAAAAGCGAGCAGCTTCGTTCGGGCAAAATATGGAGTAAATAGGTGGTAATAACTAAGTGAAACGAAGGAAGAAAGCGCCACAAACTGCCTAAGATCAGAGAAAAACGGTGCTTAGCTTGAAGTAATCTCTAACGTGAGAAAGGTACTATATTCCTTTCCTTCTTTCCGCCTCTCTTTTTTATTTTTGTTTTTCTTTTTGCAAATTACACTGCTGTCATCTTAAATTTCCAGACGAGCATCAAGTTTTTTGCTGGATATACTTTTCGAACATTATTATGATGAAAGACGACATCTTAACCTACACAGGGACATTTATATTGTTTCATTTGATGTAAAGTGAACTTCTAGCATAGCAAAAGGATCAAAAAGCGGGTAGTACAGTGGTAGTGAAGCCGTTCCATAGGCGCAAGGCCCCAGTTTAACCCTGCGCGGACCGACAACACCCCCATCCTTCAGATGCAAGGAAGCAAACAGAACGCAAGAAGTGTTGAGATGCGCATAACATCTGCAATATAGTCCTATGTAAAATAAATTAACAGAAATGAAGGATCACGTGAAACGGATTAATGGAAAGTATTCGGGAGTGAAAAAACAGAATTGGTCCCTATATCATAAAACAACTAATGAAAAAATACGACTGTCAATCGATCCGCCACATAGAACGGCAAGCAGTAGGACTCCCCACCTCCCTAAAGAAAATCAGTTCAGAAATGCAGCAACTCGTCTATCTGTCTAACTGTGTAGCCTATCTAAACTATCTGTTCTCTCGATTTCTATCTAAAATTTAAAACATAAATTCCTGTTCATATTATATATATTTTCTTCCAGAAGATATTTCAAGAAGAATTCAATTTTTAAAGAAACAAATTGGGAGTTACCATAAGCGAGTTTCATTATTTTCCCTTTGGTTTTTCTTCTGTTTCTTTCTCCACAGCACTTGTCCATTTTGGAAACTCTTATGTCGACTGGAGAAATCTATTGGTCACTCTCTCATCAAAGGAAATATGGGTGATTCGGGTGGTATAGTGTTAGGAACTATTGAAGGTCTTGAGAAGAAAAAACAGCGGTCTTAGGTCCAGTAATTTATGGATATCTGTGAAGTGAGCAGTTATATAGCTTCTATACCTTGCTCTATATTTTTAACCAACAGCGTTCAGTTTGAAAAAATCATTGCTCGATGGCCAAAATCCCCCTAGACATCCCTTCAGACATTCATTTTCCTTCCCTTCATACCCAGTCTTCTGTGGCGTCGTCTATCAGGAACCAGCTCATGGATCTTCTCTTGCTTAGCCTTGGAGTTAGAAGTTCCGAAACACTAGAAACAGTAGAAAAAATGCTTTAGAAAGGCATTGTAGAGAAGGTAAAGAATCCCTGTCGCAAAAAAAAATACAAGGAGAGAAAGTACAATACATTGGCACACAGCGTTGTTTTTCTTCATCGATATAAGTGTAGTCTTCTTATCCTCTTCAATTCAACTAAGTGACGATTATTCTGATATTTGTGAATAAGCAGCATAGTGAAATACAAAACTCAACGTACGACATCTAGTGACGTTTTGACTACTCTTTCTATGGTCCCAATTTATTCCATAAGAGATACAGAATGGTTCACTAGGACTAAATACAATTTAGCACACTTTGTTGCCAACACTATCACGTATCCAAATGAACAACACCGACTTTATTCCCAACTTTATTTATTCCCTTCGACAAATGTGTCGGGATTTCAAGAGTGGAGAAAAACATGTCCAACCAAGAAGCTAATACCACTAGTGGAAATTGTGTTAGAGCCATATGTTTTTTCAAGAATAGAATAGGGTTATTCGTCCATGGATAGGTGTTGTTTAACAAATTCGTGACGGTGTGACCTCTATAGGAGTCATAAGATGCGAAAATAATGGCGGCCTTCAACTTCAAATCGGGCTATTTCAGCTAGTAATGAACTTTATTAATTGCACTAAAAACTACGACAATTTACAAATTGTTGCTACAAAATGCGCGTTTTGAAAGCTTACTACGAAGAAATTTTGATCTTTCGGACTCTACGGCATACATTTCAAAAATCGGCTTTCCTACAACATCAGTATAATTAATCAACATATGATAAAATTTTGAGCTTACACGAGGTTGTTATATAACACCATATATAACAAGGGCCTCACAACGATTTACCGCCTCATCGTGACTGGTAGGTGTTCCTGTGTGTCGGAGTGCGATGTACAGCGGTGGATTCATCCCATGGCAGGATCCCCCAAGCTGAGGAGTCCGGCGTTTCCATCAGGAAGCCTAGCTAAGAGTAAACCAGTACCAGGATCCACCACCGTCCTGGTATCAAAGTCGCATGGTGGTAAACCTCCCTCTGATCCACAAGGGCTGCGACTACCCGTGGTGGTGAAGACCTGGGGCAAACTTTGGCCAGGCTGACCCCGGAACTCCAGAGAACCACAGTGGCTTAACCTGCAAATCTCCGAAAAATGGAGGTTATGCTGAGGCCCGCACAACAAGTGAGGACGGGCCATTCAAGTGTCGAGTATCAAGTAAGTATAATAAGGTAATATATATATATATATATATTTAGCTATATAACAATCCTATATACACTATACATATATAACTATATAACTATATAACTATACTAAGTATAAACATATATAACTTACTTGGATACTTGGACGGCCCGTCCTCACTAGTTGTGCGAACCCCAGTATAATCTCCACTTTTCGTAGTTGTGCTGGTTTAGCTACTCCGTTTCCCTGGAGTCCTGGGTCAGCCTAGCCAAAGCTGCCCCAGGTCGTCACCACCACAGGCTGTAGCGGCCATTGTAGATCAGAGGGGACTTGCCACCATGCGACTAGTTTGATACCAGGACGGTGAGGATCCTTCCTGATACTGGATTACTCTTGGCTAAACTTCGTGATGGAAAAGCCGGACTCCTCATCTTGGGAGACCCTTTCGGATTGATGAATCCGGCCACTGCACATCGCAGCCCGACAGCAGGAACACCGCCCACCTACGATGAGGTGGGTAAACCGTTGGATTGTTATATATAATAAGGTTGTATAAGAACCTCGTGTATGCTCAGCAATTTAAACACTTATTGATTAATCACACCAAGATTGAAGGAAAGTTGATTTTCGAACTACTATTATGCTCTGTGTCAGATGAAGGCGCGTGTGGCGCAGTGGTCGGAGGCGCCCTGTAACACACACGCGGAATCGATCCCCGCACCCATAGCCTACCAAGTCTTCCGTCCCTATAGAGTCGGTAAATTGGTACCAGACTTGTCTGTGAGGATAGCACCACTGGCTCGATACACCGAGAGGCCAGGCGAGTCATTGTATAGGCCAGATGTGCATTCAGTCACCTCCAACGATCGAATGCATGGCGCATATCTAAGGGATTGATCAACGCCGAAAGCTTTTTCCTTTAACCTTTAAATGAGGATAACGTGGCACACCACCGAGGCTCTTGCTTTGCATTTCTTTCTGACAGTTTTTTACGCTAACTTAACCCTATCTCATCATCATTGTGGTTGTTTTCATCACATCTGGGAAGTTCTGAAAGCACGATAATATGAAGGATAGCTTCTCTCAACGCAGCGCCTAAAGGGATTCGGAATTTCAGTTGATGAACTTTCCACTGACCGTCGTTTGTGAAGTATTTACAAGAAGTTTGGAATGAATCGACCACTTAATAATAATAATAATAATAATAATGAGTCCTATGACGAAAAATCAATAAAAGAGTCAATGATGATGGATGAATGATGAGTCAATGAAGAATGATGAATACTGAGCCACAAATTCGTTGTTGTCTTCAGTGAAGGAATAATGGACTTCAAATGGTTGCCTTTTTATGATAGAATAAAAAGGCTTACAACATGTTTTGCTTAGGAAGGCGAAAAATATAACAAAACAACCTCAATGGTGCTGGAACAATTGCTAAAATCGGAACTCAAGGTGAGATTCGAAACCGTGATTACCGCTTCCGGAGGCTCATGCGTTATCCACTGTTTCATTCGAAGCTCTTGCCTTTCCGTTCTCTCAGCCAGTATAACAAAACAGTTAATTTCCTACCCCGAAAGAAGATTTCACTCGTTTCATTATCGTCGGTTGGGTCAGTCGGCTAAAGTACCAAATGCTACGGTTCTGGAAGAAACCCAGTCGTAATGCCGGTACTCTTGCAATCAGGGTTAACGCATTCCTATGGTTACGCTCTGAGAACACCTCTGCAAGTGGGGAATTTCGGTAAAACCACACTCACCCACCATCAGGTATAGCAGTGTTGATAGTCCCAGCTGATTATAGACGCGAAAATCCAGCCTGGATGAATGGTGGTTGCAGGACAAGGGAATGGACGGAAAAAGGGCTGGCGCCCGCTCACCATGTGAAGACGGGCTATCTAAGCCTCTAAAATACTTCGAATGCAAACTTTTAGAACAGTATAGACGGTGATCTAATTTGGTCTCTAGTTTGCAACTGAAACTACTTGGTTTCGTAATCTCAATGAGTCCTACATAGTATTTGGATATATAGAAAGGCGAGTGTACTTCATTTTTTGTTCGTACTTTACCTTTTGCATGATTGTCAATTTTTACAACACTGTTATCACCATAGTTACTTTGAAACACAAAATTTACATGAGGACAGAAATCTTCCCACTTTAGCTCCACCCCTCCAACGGTTTACCGCCTCATCGTGGCTGGGAGGTGTTCCTGGGTATCGGAGTGCGATGTACAGCGGTGGATTCATCCCCTGGTAGGATCCCCCAAGCTGAGGAGTCCGGCGTTTCCACCAGCAAATCTCCGAATAGTGATTATGCTGCCCTCCCACCTGACTATATGAGGAAGGGTCATTCAAGTATCAAGTATCAAATATCAAGTTAGCTACACCCCTGATGACTCTGAGCTGACGCAATTGCGCACGGTGCATTTGAGCCTACGTCTTGCTCTGGAACACTGGATAAATTCAAAATCCTTGTTCCCTTTATGAATTGAATGGTTAACTGTCAGGATATTAGAGGTGAGTACTCGTCTGTCTTTTTTTTGTAGTTTATTTAATATGTTTATCTTTCTAGAAAATCTATTCTGTCGTGTGTTTCCGAAATATATTCGTTCCGATGAATTGAGAAGCATCAGGTGTCGTGCCGTCGAAAGTATTACTTTTAGGAATATTTTTGTTCTGTAGTGGTACTGAATATTGATAGAAGTCTTTGGTATGTACACGTAGCGGGATCACCGTTAGCATATAGCGCCGTATCTATGCATTGAGTACAATGCAATGGTTCGAAAATGACGGCCTCTCTTCAACTTTAAACCAACATAGTTCAGCTCATATCAGGTTTTAATAGTTGAAATGAATATGGATGGTTAGAATCTACGGAGCTTTCCTTGTAAGGTGTAGGTTTTGTGTTCCTGCTAGAATGAGGATTTTGTATTCTGGGTCGCAGAGAATGTCCTTGCGTTTTCTTTTCTTGTTGAAATTCGAATTTCGGATTATGAAAAGATTTAGTAGTCGTAATTTCGTCCATCCAGAAAAGCGCTTTGCCTAGTATATCACTGATGCTGGGCGCATGTGGCGCAGTGGTCGGAGGCGCGCTGCAACACAGACGTAGAATCGATCCCCGCGCCCATGGCTCACAAAGTCTTCCAACCCTCTAGAGTCGGCAAATTGGTGCCAGACCTGTCTGCGAGGACAGCAGCACCTGCTTGATACATCACCCAACTTGGAGGTTTGGTATTGAATCTTTCATTGCACAGAATTGCAAGCGAATCCAACAGAAATGTGAATGTCGTAAATTTTTATTCACTGCCTGCTATTTTTTTTAATGGCAGGGTGTTACGTGAAGTATAATGACAGTGGTGCTGAGATTTTTGCAAAAGTCTGAAGCACTGGTGTCTGCGATGGAGATCGAACACGCTATCACCCTTTCCGGCGCTAACGCGTTCACCACCACACCATGCGAGTTTAGCCCTTCTCTCAAACTTTCTTAATTGGGTTCAGTGCTGATTTGTGCTCTCCATATCACTCGTACTGACGGGTGATTGATGATAGTATTTATAGGTTAATAACACTGCTGAGAGAAAGGCGAAACGAAGGAATCGTATGGTGTGGTGGCGAACGCGTTAGCCCTGGAAAGGGAAATATCGTGTTCGAACCCCACCGCAGACACCAGCGCTCCAGACTTTCGCAAATATTTCAGCATCATTATAGAAGTATGAATATCTTATATCCTACCTATCACTGAATTCTTACATTTAAGAGGATACATAAAACATATAACTAGTATGAGCATAGCATATTATTAAGATAACATATTAAGGGAAAAGACGTCGATCTGGACCGCTGGAAGACAAAGGACCGTCGAAAAAGCCACGACATGACGGTGGTAAAGCAGACGGAACCAGTTTGGTCTCTGAGGTTGAAAACAATAGTGAAATCAAGAAGAAAAGGTGCAGAAAACGCACCAAGGGTCTGCGAGTACTTATTAAGAACAAGGTTAGGGGATGCAGTTCTTCCCTATCCTACCTTCTTTCTACATTTTTTTCTTGATCCTAGTCTGCTCTGCTGGTCATCGAATTTATCGTAGGTGATCAATAATTCCCTAATTTAAGATTGAAGTGGCACTACGGACACCATCTTCGCCGTTAGCTCATTTGTTCGTCACACGGGATGATGATGGTACTCCTCGTAAGTATTTATAACCAGTTTTCCTACGTTTATATCATTTTTAAGCATCTATCTTCTGTCTTACAAGATGTTATACTGTAATGTTGCGTTTAACCAGGCTATTTGAAATTGTTGGTTCATATCCTTGTTATATGCTCTTCATGAAGCCGATCGCAGCCCATTTTGAATTCAGTTTGTTTCCTGGTGTCTACCAGCCAGGAACTCCGACCCTTTTGCATTTGGGTTTGTTTTCTGTTTGAAGATTTTCATCTTTGTCACGAATGTCGTTAAACTGTTCGAATCGATTCTCCATGGAGTCCCCTGATAGCCGTGGCAGTGCATTCATTTCTTCATTGGAGGGAGTGATCATCCCGATATCCCGTACCGATACCCGATATCTGAGAAATGGGAAGATTATTGGACCTGGTGAGAGATCGATCTTGATACAGGGTAGATAAGGCTTTTCGCGTAGTGACGCCATCACCACCACTGCGGTACCCTTCCCATCGTGTACTATCAAATGTGTCACCTGTTCTCCCATCAATCATTGAATGGCTCGGGCGGGTTCCAGTAGATCTTCCATTTTTTTCCCGTCGCGCGGAAGCGTATCCCAGTGGGTTTTGCTTGCTTCATGGACCGTCAAGCATATCGAACTCCTAGGGTGTTCGTGAAAAACTGGCAATTGGAGTGATGGTCTGTACGTTTGTAATCGCGAAGGATCCAGTCACTAACGGCTGTTATCCATCGGTTGTAATTCATACGCATTACGTTTCCGGCCCAACTTATCTTCGACAGTTTGGCGTGTAGAACGGTATCTTTGATTTTTGATCGTTGGAGCAAGTCGGAGCTTCGGATCCCTTCCCTTACACGTGTGTCACGGAGTACACTTAACATCTCCCTCTCGACTGCGCGTTCAATACCGCTGAGTGGTTTTCCATCCTTATATCGCGACCAAGCTTTTGACGCATATGTTAAGGCAAGAAGAACTGTGGAGTCGAAAAGGTGGGCATGGAATCTTGTGTACTTTGTTTTCTCCACACTTTCAGTACTCTTGAAAACTCCCCGAGCCGCTCGTTTCCTCCTGCTCCACTCTGGAGCAAAGTCGTTCATTATGTTGATTTCCCGATTTAGACAGACTTGACTGGGGTATGGTCTTGGTCGCCATGATAAACTCTGACAGCCGTTTATCCTGCTCGTGCATTCTAATCCGCGGGTCCCGATGTGTTGTTCGTCAGGCGTTCTTATATCTCCTGTTTTAGCGTTAAAATTTCCAGTATTTTAGTTGAAGAATGTACGGTCTTTCCTGTATAACGTCTCCAAGTCCATATAAAGCGCTTCGACTTCGTCTTCGTCATGGCTTGATGTCGGTGCATAAACGACGAAGATTGTTAGAGCAGAAATTGACCCACATTTCTTCAATCGTAAACGTCCGATTTGCGTTGGTAGTTGTTCGAATGAATCGATGTTCATGGCGAAATTCGTGTTGTCGGGAACGCTTACGCTTGCAACTCCTCTACCGTCGCATGTTCCGAGGAAGAGTTCTTCTCCGGTTTAATAGATGGCATTGGCTGGGTGACGTCTTTTCGCCTTGGCCAGTCCGATGACACCGTAGGTTACCCTTTTTACTTGCATGAGCAAGTCTTCTGAACAGGGACTGGGTATATTCACGGATAGCTTGCCAGTCTCTCCCAGAGCAGATGAGAATCGTATTTGTTGGAGGCTACTTTTAGCCGCCTCTCTTATACTTCTTTGTTAATTGGTTGCAGGCTTTTGGCCGAATTGACTTGTGGAATACAATCCACATAAACGAGAAGATACCCACACATGCATGAATACGTCCTCGTAAATACGAAGGAGATTTGCCCAATCGGCGCAGCAAAAGCGTCTCAGGGAAGCAAAGATCGCGTTTAGCCTGCGATTAACCTCCTTTCGCTGGAGACGCGCTGTGTTCCCTCGCTACTAACCGGCATGAGATCTCTGTATGAGAGAGATTCGTCGTTACGTACTATGGGTACGTTTAAATTCTTATGGTGGTTTGTCAATCTTTCTCCTGGACCTTACGTTAATGTTTTTTCTTTACAAATGTGGCTGAGCAATGTAATTTTCATAACTGCACCCTTCAACATGAGGGCGTGGTTTCATTTTTTTTTCCGTCTTTTTTGCTAGTGTGTGATGCCCATCACTGCATCAAATTTCTACATTTTGTTGCACGATTTCTTCCATTAATGTTTTCAGAAGCGGCGTATGTTGACGTTATCAAGGCGATCGGTCTAACTGATGAGGACTGGCTAAAGGTTTGTAGAAGTAGTCGTTTGTAACAGTTATTTTAATGTTATTTATTGGAATGTGTTCAAATATAACTCGACGAACGACACAGGCACATAGGTTCAATCGAGATTGACTTTTTAAATAACTTGACACTTGACAATTGAACGGCCCGTCCTCGCTGGTTGTGCGGGCCCCAGCATAATCACCATTTGTCGGAGATTTGCTGGCTAAACCATTGTGGTTCCCTGGAATCCCAAGGTCAGGCAGGCCAAAGTCTGCCCCAGGTCTTTACCACTATGGGCAGTCGCAGCCCTCGTGAATCAGAGGGAGATTTGCCACCATGCGACTTTGATACCACGACGGTGGTGGATCCTAGTATTGGTTTACTTTTAGCTAGGCGCCCTGATAGAAACTCTGTACTCCTTCTAAGTTTTGGAGATTCTGCCAGGGGATGAATTCCCGCTATACAGTCCCTCGCAGTCCGACACGCAGGAACACCTCCCAGCCACGATGGGGCGATAATCTGTTAGGAAGTTTTAAATAACTTGTTTTTTTAACTTTAGAAGTAGCGAAAAAGTAGAAAGACCAAATGTCAATAGGAGCTAATTGGCTAGTCGCCGATAATCGTCCTGTACATATGTTTCACATTCTTCCACAATGCAGGATTGTTTGTGACAAGTTGCTTATTGTAGAGAGATGGGATTTTTTAGTCTGTAGATGCTGAAAATTCCATTATTTTTTTTGAGGACAATTTATTCTTTGTTTGACATTAAGGCTGCATCATTGTCTCCAGGAGCTGTTGAAAGTATATCGAACATAACTGATATGTTTCGAATAGAGAAGAATCCGGAGAGGAAGCTCATGTTGAAGTACAAACCGGTAGAGTGGAACAAGGATGAGTGTACGGTCTATCTGGTACGTGTTCTCTTATAATGTTTCTCTTATGCTCTGTTTTTTGTGGCCTGTTTCAAAAACACATGTTTTAGGATAATCTTCCGGCAGGTTGCACATCTGAGAAAATATTTAGAATCGCTAAAAAATTCGGATCGGTTGTTGAAGTGAGTGATGTGTGGCTATTATTTTGGCTCTATATTATCTGAGTTCGTTTTAAATATATCCAACTTTTCAAACTTCGGGAATTTTGCATCGTTTTTCAGGTTCGGTTGCCTCGTTCTCCATCCAGGAAAATTTTTTCTCCTTATGGATTATTAGAAGTAGGGAAGCACCCGCGATCTTTCGCCTTTGTATTGTTTACGGAACCGGCTGCGTGTGAAAGTATGTGCAGTGTAAGTGGTATTTACAACATTCTACGTTTAATGAACTCATGTTTTTCAATGATTTTGAAGCCTACCGTCATTTAACCTCGGTAGTAAACCTCAAACATGAACCTCAGAAGGTAACCTCAGCCATGTTTCTCAGTATTTAAATATGGGATTGTTTTTGAAAGGATTAAATGGTGTGATGGTTTGTTCACGATGTCCTGACTGAAAAAATGGCTTACAATTAGCTGCTCTGTTTCAGTAATGATGATTGTGTTGTGCATCCTTCGAATTTTGCCCATAAGAACTGCTTTTAGTGTCATTGGGAACGGAAGTTTCATGACACAGATACCCATAGAGCGATAGATTTCGAAATCTTCCTGCTTCTGGTCGTACTAGTTAACACCTATAATATTCTTCAGGCTTTTGCACAAAACTTTTCAAATCATGAGAAGAAAAGGAAAAGCGAGTCATTGGTTCCATTGCTGCAGCGCCTGCTTATGAGAATAAGAATGTCAGTTATCTCCACACATAATATCTCATTTGGATTTTTTTTTACGAGATTTTCAACTTTGTTTTCCAGTCTGTGTATCTTTGTTTGAACTTAACTAAATAGTTGCTGAGGGCTCGTGTAGTGCAGCGGTCGGAGGCGCCCTGCGTTACACATGGTATCAAACCCCGCACCCAAGGCTGACCAAGCCTTCCATACCTCCGGGAAGGAGGGGGTTCGGCAGATTGGCACCATACTTGTCTGGGAGGTTAGTAGTCCTGTCTCGATACATCGGTAGGCCACTTCGAGTTATTGTAAAAGGCCAAATATGCCTTAAAAGGGTTCAGTCACCTTCAACGATGCTTGATGAACTTGAATACGTGGCGCGTTCCAGGATTAATGAACGTCGACAGCTTTTTTATCTCTAGATGATAGCTAATACAATAATTAGAAGTCTTTATTCAGCTTATCGAGACGGCAGCGACGGCGAACATTTGCACAAAATCTTTTACTGGTGAAGTTACGAAGAAAACAAGCTGCAATTATAAAGAAAGAACGAACAGCTAACAAAAGGACGTGTAAGCTGTCACGAATCATTGAACAAGAGAAAAGCTCCGTAACGATTGCTTACGACGAAGGTATATTTTTCTCTGCTGGTGTTATTTTCAATATGTTGTTGTGCCGTTATGGTTGTAGCTCCGAGCTTTACTCGCTGCTAATTATTTTACTGATTCTATCACTGACGGTAAACCTTTATAATCTTATGATTATTAGAGGAAAAACCTCGAAGTAACCACGATGGTGGGGAGCATAACACTCACATTGGATGTGGTAGTGATGGTCGGCGTCCGAGTATTGGCAAAAGGAAAAAGATGAAAGAACACTGTAATAAATTACTAAATGCGACTACAGACAAAAAGAAACGGTATGCTACTTTTTATCTGTTATCGTTTTTCAAAATCGAAATGATAGGAAGATTATATAGACGTCGCTTAGGAAACGTCGGAGAAGGCGAAAAGCTGAAGTGGGTTCCCATGCTGTTGTCGGTTCCGTTTCTGAGTACTTTGCAAAGATACAAGTACTTCCTCTGTAAGTGTGAAAAAGTCTGTTCGTATTTTTACACTTTATTTTAGTATTTTCCTTGCTTGCAGTGTTCGTTATCTGGAACTTAGACGAGAATACATAGCATTACGTCGCGAATCCGATCGCTGTACGAAAGAATTGACTAGACAGGACGGTCACTTCGGTGGTTTCTCTTCGTCTATGAATAATGTTAAAGTGAGTGGTGTTGCTCCTACTTAACTACGGAATTCAATTTTGTTGTCGGACACCTAGTGATATTTCTGTAAACTATGGTTTAACTTTTCCTAAAGATTCTAGTATATTGTCGTTATTGATCGATTTTTCGGACGATTAAGCCTGGAATATTTTTATTTTGATTCGTTTATTGTTATCTTTAAGCTCTCACGTCAACTTGAGTTATATCGCGATAACTCCTGGGAGATACATAACGCTGAACAAGAGGAGTAATCACCACGGTTTTTCAACGCTTTCTTACCTCCTTAATCATTTTAGATTTATCTCTGTCTCAGGATTTTGTTTCTGTTTAGCAACTTGGAATGTTGATACTATGCGGCATTTTATTCATTTGTAGTTTTTCTTTGGCATTTTTCTTCTTCGGTGTCTAGACCGATCATCATTATGCAGTACGGGTGGTTTTGATCCTACTACGTTTTGTAGCTTGACTTTTTGAACAATCCGTTATGAGCTGAGATATCATCCGTGGCGTTCTGGTTGAAGAGTATATGTCTTCCCAGGTGCATACTTCTTGTACATTTCAACCTTGGGATTTCAAATCCATTTAACGAAAGCCATAGTAAATGTGCACCTTATGTATGAAAGAGTTAGTAAAACATCTTATTGAACGATACAGAGTTTATACTCGGTTATGTACTCATGAACCTACATACACACATCGTTTATGATAAGCAACCGTACTACACTTCACTGGAAGTAGTCGCGTTTTTACTCCTCGAAGGCGATATTTTGGAACCATGCTGTTTGGGAAGAAATGGAAGAACTTGCAAAAATGGCATTCGTCGAAGTATTCTGAAAGAGACTTTTGTAATGGACATAAGTATTGTTCCATAAGTGCCGTACCTATTAATGTATTCTGGAAAAGCGTAGCCGTCTTCATCTTCCTCACCAAGGTCCGATTTCTCGATCTCATCGACGACATGAAGCCCACGTTGACGTGGCGTGGCTCCTGATTAGAAGAATTCTATGGGGAATTTGTTCATCACAACTGATCATTTAGGTCAACATCAATACCGATCACATTAATAGAATCTCTTTATTGCTCTCCTATTATATGATGTACTTCTATTCCATACGTTTGATATCAGAAATGAGTTTTTATGGCTGGACTCTTATGTTCATTCCTTCCAACAATTTAACGCCTCATCGTGGCTGGGAGGTGCTCCTGGGTGTCGGGCTGCGATGTACAGCGGGAGAACCATCCATCCCCCTGGCAGGGTCTCCTTAGCTGAAAAGAAGTCCGGCGTTTTCATTAGGAAACCTAGCTAAGTGTAAACCAATAGCAGGATCGATCACTGTCCTGGTGTCAAACTAGTCGCATGATGGAAAATCTCCCTCTGAACCACAAGGGCGGCGACTGCCTGTGTTGGTGACGAACTGGGGCAGACTTTGGCCAGACTAACCTCGGGACTTCAAGGAACCACAATGGCTAAACCGGCAAAACTCCGAAAAAATGGAATTTATGCTGGTGCCCGCACAACCAGTGGAGACGGGCCATCCAAGTATGCAAGTAAGTTATGTTCATTACTATGTTTTCCGGCTGTGTATCTAACTTTCATCTGGTTATGAGTAACGGCAAGGAGTGTTTGACGATGGAGAAGCAATGTGCATTGAACTCCATTCCTAGCCGACTGGGACATTGGCTTGAACTAGTGACCATGTGTTTATTCCCGGGATTTATGTAACTACGGGTATTGGGTTTAGACAGCAAAAGCTGTTCTTTTTATAATGAAACTATGGTCTAGATTCTTTGTTATGTGAAAGAAATGAGAATTTAATGGAAGTGTTCATGCTTACATCGTAAAAGTGCTAATGTAGTATTTGTGTCTCGTTCAGATTTTGAGTTGGAACGGACGTAAATAATAGATGAAAGATAGAGCTCTTAGCGTTGATAAACCCCTGAACGATACGCTATGCATTCAACTTCATCATCATTAGAGAGGCGACTGGATGAAGTTGATGATGCTATCCACCCAGACAAATCTGGTATCAATTCTTCGTCCCGAAAAGAAAAGGTTTGGTGATTCTCGGTGAGAGATCGAAACATCGACCCCTTGTCCACAGCAGTGCACCTCTAACAATTGCGCTACACGCTCCTTTAAGATGGACGTACGATGATCAAATAACGTTCTCATCTTTTATGAATGGGAGGTTTGGTTGATCTGAATAGACACAATGACGATCAAAGTTATTTCTTTTTTTGCATTAAAACAAACATGGATATTTGGATGGCCCATTCTCAGTGGTTATGCAGGTTTCAACACAGTTTCTATTACGTTGCTGAGATATTTGCAAAACTCTGGACCGCAGGTGTCTATGGTGGGGAACGAACGCGATATTATCCTTTCCGGGGAGTAACGCGTTCACCACCACACCATGCGGGTCCTTCGTTTCGCCTGTCTCTCAGCTATTTCTATCGATCTTTCGACAATTTCTATTTTTTCGCACTTTTGCTGGTATAGCGACTGTGGTTCCTGAAGTCAACCAGGCCAAAGTCTGCTCAGGTCGTCACCACCACAGGTAGTCGCCGCCCTCGTGGATCGGAGGGAGATTTGCTACAATGCGACTAGTTTGATACCTGTACGGTGGTGGATCGTGGTATTGGTTTATTCTTAGTCCAGCTTCTTGATAGAAACGCCGGACTCCTGAGGTTAGGAGGCCCTGCCGGGTGTTGAATAAGCTTGCTGTACATCTCAACCCGACATCGAGGAACACCTCCCAGTCATAATAAGGCAGTAAACCGTCTGGAGATTAGTAGAACATAAGTTTTAAAACTGTACCTGGCACAGTATTGTCCAGCATCAATGCTACCATTCCTCCAACGAGCATCTTTATACTCAATAACATATTTGCAATCCGATCCCAGTCAGCATATCCTTAAATACGGATTATTAGATCGTCTTGAGAGTGGTGGCTTTAGTCTTAAAGAAGAGAAGTCTTTAATTTCGAAAGAACTGTTGAAAAACCTTTCTGGTTGAAATCCTGTAGAGTTCCCAGGATCGACTTCCTCATAACCTCGGCATAGGAATATGAATGCGCCGTTTTCTTGTGTAGTAATCGCGAGGTTTTTAAACACCATACATTTACTTCCATAGAGAAACACAATACAATACAACACTAGCTGACGTTTCGGCAGTATCGCCTTCTTCAGAGCCTGGAAGGGTATACTGATATACAATCTACTAGGCCAAACGCTTCAATAACACAAAAAAACGAAAAACTCTATGGCAATTACATGATCAACAGCTCGAAAAACACTGCTTCTTACGTGACTTCCAATGAGGAAGTTTAGAACAGCCGATTGTAGTCGCATATGGTTGATGACTGCACCATCCCACATCAGAAACCGATGCGAACATACGGGGTCAGATCACGTATGACCTCTGGGAATTCATCCCTGCTATTCATTGTAGAGTTTTGGCATTTATCCAAAAATGCCTCAAGAAGTTTTCGCGTTGGTGTTTTAGTCTCCTGTGCAAGGATGTTGACTTTTACTTCAAAATCGCTATGCTTTGTATCCTCTGCATGCCTTGTGGGGTACTTTGTCTTAGTTTTCGTTTGCCGTCTAGGTGTTCTTTTATACGGATACACAAAGGTCTGCCCATTTCGCCAATATATTCATCTCCGCAATTGTTACACGAGATCAGGTATATCGTCTGAACTCATGCAATCACCGTCCCTGCCGTAAGCGCAAATTACGCAATTTGCTGTTTCACATAGACGGTCATACAGGCGATTACGAACTAATTGACGACGTAGAGTAGCCGGTGGTATTTCAACTATGGCTACCGATTCCTCTAGACCTGCCCTTCTTAAGCATAGTTTAAAAGCTTTAAGAGCTTATTTCATCGCTAATGAAGGGCTACATAAACGGGACTTTCTTTTGGCCAAGTGTTTCGCTTGTGTGCGTCGTTCTCCTTGTAAACTTATCTCGTGCGGTAACTATTCCGTAGCTAGATGGCTATTTGCCAAGCCAAGTCGCGCGATTCTTCCTTTAGTTCCCTGGTAGTGCACACAAAGGTGGCTGTTCGAAACATGTTTCTCACAATCGCCCTCTTTATGTGTGGAGGATGGGAAGAAAGGAAATGAACGAAGATGTTCTTGTTACTTGGCTTTCGGTACCACTTTGTCAAGTAACCGCTACTTCAGGTTCACCGAAATATGGCTACGAAATAGTAACCCCACGAGATAAGTTTACAAGGAGAACGACGCGCACACGCGAAACACTTGGCCAAAAGAAAGTCCCGCTCATGTTGCCTTTTATAAGCGATGAAGTAAGCGTAGCTATAAAACGATGCTTAAAAAGATCAGATCTAGAGGAATCGGTAGCGATAGTTGAAATACCACCGGCTACTCTACGTCGCCAATTAGTTCGCAACCGCCTGTATGACCGTCTATGTGAAACAACAAATTGCGTAATTTGCCTTTCTGCAGGGACGGTGATTGCACGAGTTCAGATACGATATACCTGATCTCTTGTAACAATTGCGGAGATGAATATATTGGCGAAATGGGCAGACTTTTACGTATCCGCATAAAAGAACACCTAGATAGCAAACGAAAACTAAGACGAAGCACCCCACTAGGCACGCATAGGATACAAAAGCATAGCGGAGACGATTTTGAAGTAAAAGTCAATATCCTTGCACAGGAGTCCAAAACACCAGCGCGAAAACTCCTAGAGGCTTTTTGGATAAATGCCAAAAACCCTACAATGAATAGCAGGGACGAATGCCCGGAGGTCATACGCGACCTGATCCCGTACGTTCGCATCGATTTTTGATGTGGGATGGTGCAGTCGTCAACCACATGCGACTATAATCAGCTGTTCTAAACTTCCTCATTGGAAGTCACGAAAAAGCGGTGGGTTTTTCGAGAAGTTGTTGATCGTGTAATTACCAAAGAGTTTTTCGTCTTTTTGTAAATGTTATTGAAGCGTTTGGCCTAGTAGATTGTATATCAGTATACCCTTCCAGGCTCTGAAGAAGGCGATACTGCCGAAACGTCAGCTAGCGTTGTATTGTATTGTGTTCCTCTTTGGAAGTAAATGTATGCTGTTTAAAAACCTCGCGATTGCTGAACAAGAAAACGACACATTCCTTCTGTAGAGGTTTTTTCTATTACGTTGTCCGAAAATTGAATTCGGCTTTGTAATTCTATTTGCTTCCCACAAGTTTTAGTAAGAGCTTTTCTTTCTAATTCCATACGTTTATATGTATATATATATGTATATATATATATGTATATATATATATATATATATATATATATAAAGGATGAAGCTCCTGGCGTTGATCTGTCCCTGAGTGATGTGCCATGGATTCGACTTCATTAGGTATCGTTGGAGGTGATTGATTACTTATCTGACCTTTACGACGACTCGCAGTGGCCTACCGATATATCGAGCCAATGCTGCTATCCTCCCAGACAGGTCTGGTACCAATTTGCCGACCCCGGAGCGATGGAAGGCTTGGTGAGCCATGGGCGCGGGAATCGATTCCACGTGTGTGTCGCAGTGGCGTCTCCAACTACTGCGCCAAACGCGCCCGTATATATATATATATATAGTTGCAGAACACATTTTATGCACTTTATCATTTCATCGTTCAATTGAATTCTAATATAAGTTGTGTTGTTGATAAATTTTAAAGAATAGGAGTTCAAAGCATGAAAAAGCAATTTCGAGAAATCTACTCGTACGGATCAGAAATTCGCAGCGCAGCTGATCGAAACATTGCCGAAGTACGGGGCAGGCAAGGAAGGGTAAGTGTCGAAGGAAGCATAATGCAAGGTTGCTTTCGAGGATGTCGTCATGGCGAATTCGACCCTCAAAATGGCTGAGGTCGCAAAGCCTTTCCTCTATTGACGACCATGAAGTTTTTGATAGAAGCAAAAACAAGCACAACTGTTAGGACGTTTGTGGAAGGACTCTCTGCAAGCCATTCCAATTTCTTATCAGCATGCAAAGAAAATTTGAAAGTTGAAAACATCGACAAATGGATGCCGCACGAATTGAGTCAGAATTAACGAAATCTACTTTTTGAAGTATTGTCAGCAGTTCTTCTGTGCCACCCAGAAGATATTTTATTATGCGACAAGAAATGGATCTTCTGCGATAGCCGGGGACGATCGGCTCAGTGGTTGGATCACGATGAAGCTCCGCAGCACGTCAAAGTGCCCACGTCGCGGCAAAGGAGTCATGCTGGCTGTTTGGTGGTCTGCCACTAGTTGAATCCATCACAACTTCCTTAATCCGAATGACAAGATTACGGCGGAAAAGTATGTTCACCAGGTCGACGAAATGTGCGAGAAATTTCAACGGCTGCGCTCATCATTGCTCAGGAGAAATGGATCAGTCCTCCAGGATAACGCGCCGCCATGCGTCGCACTACCGTCGCTGCAAAGCTTGAATCAGCTGAGCTACAAACCTCTACCTCACCACACTCATCAAAACTCTTGTCTACAGACTACCACTTCTTCAAGCATCTCGACAACCTCCATTACGAGAAACACTTCATGAACCAAGCTGAGGCAGAAACTGATTTCAAAGACTTGATAGCTTCTGGAAGTCCATAATTGCATGAATTTCGTGTAAACAAATTTTAAGAAGGTTTAATTTTTAATTGTTGTTTTTCTGTCAGTAACGAAGTTTGTTTTGAGCAGATATATACCGCTTTAAAGTACAGGTTGAAACCGGGCATTGATTTCCGAACATCCTAATAGCTGAGTGATTTTCAAAAAAAAAATCGTAAAATTTCGACGCTACCCCGGTCTTAAGACTTTGTCTTAAATTTCTCCTAAACTGAAGTAGCGACGACTTTCCAAAGAAGTTTCTTACAAAATAAACTTCAGTCGAACTTTAGAAACTTAGGATTTTTAAGTGATGATGAAAATCTTACCTGTATTAAGCGGTGATTTCTCTATATGCAATGGAAGAACAAGTCCGGTTATAAGTGACAAGCCAATGATAGAAAGATTTCTAGTCAGTTTTAGATCGATGAGCTGAAATGGAAATATGTACTTCTTCTGAGCAATCACCCAAATATGAGATGAAAGTTTCTACACATTAGGTTTCAGGGCGAGCTCTAAAACAGTGTATAGGGCTTTTTTGAAAGTTATCTTTCTTTGAGGTCCCCACTCACCTTCACAATGCGGAAGTCCTATTTTAAAGCTTGTAAATAAGTCAAAATAGGTGGACTGCTGTTCCACCGATGTTAACCAGTATTAAAAAAAATAGCACAAGTATTGAAAAAATCGCTAGAAGCTTAACATAGTTTTCTTAAAAATTGTGGTGTCGCTTGAAGCTGTTTCTTCTATCTGGCTATTATAGGAAAATCCGCAAAAGAATTTCTTCTTCAACCTTTCAACGACCTCCCACTATGTAATGGGTGATCTAGCTTAGTTGTGGTTTTGATATCCTTATCTAATAAAACGATAAAACTTTTTTATGCCAAATTTTGCCTTGATGATGGTATGAGCTATCACTATTAAACGGAATGATCTGGGTAGCATAAATCAGCATTAGACACAGACAAGTCGAAAGGGGCGCGTGTGGCGCAGTAGTTGGAGACGCCCTCTGACACATCTATGGGATTAACTCCCCGCTCCCATGGCTCATCAAGCCTTCCATCCTCCAGTGTCTGCAAATTGGTACCAGACTTGTCTGCGAGGATAGCAGCACTGGCTCGATACATGGGTTGGACACCGTGAGTCATTGTAAAGGCCAGATATGCATTCAATCGCCTCCAAGGATGCTCAATGAAGTCGAATGGATGGTGCATCCCTGAGGTGATTGGTCAACGCTGAGAGCTTTATGTTTTTTTAAGTTGGAAGCTACAGTAGAAATCGCAATGTTTAAATTTTATTTACTGCCTACTATTTCTTTTTCGCCTAACAAAGTCAGCGTCTCGGTGGTGAAGTGAACAATACGTGAGTCCTCGAAAAGGATAATCACAGCTTCGAAGCGCACCTGAATTTTACTTGCACCTGAATCAGCATCATTGTGCTTGCATAGTAGTTTTGCCGTATATGTTTCTTTGCTTACCTTTAGGAAACTCGTTTGGGGAATAGCGCGGTTTGCGGAACTCCATTACGACTAAGAGCGATATTCCTCATAGAATACTGCCAAGTTCATAAAGGCAACATATGAAGCGTCTGACGATGATCAATACATAGGAGATCCGCCGTGCATTGGATTCCATTCGTAGCACCGCAGAGGTGATTTAATGCTTATATAGCACTTTTCGTTCATTGGTTACAGTTAAGCATTGTTTTGGATCTGCTAGAAGCGTCGTATATCTTAACGATGATTAAAAATCCTCCAAATAGCTTCTGTATGGAAGTAAACGTATGGTGTATAACAACGTCGCGATTGCTGAACAAGAAAACGGTTCCTCCAAATAGCGTTATAGTTTTCATTTTACTTTCTACATATTTACTGGATTGATTCTTAGGCAGAAAAGCTATGTTAATATAAAACATTTTATACTTTATTTTATTCTATAAAATAAAAAATGTAATTTTTAGTTCATACGACCTCTCTTCACGTCTACTGTGCGGATTCCAGCACTTCTCACATTCGATTTGTTTCCATGCATCCATCATTCACGAAGGTCTTTCAATTTTTATACGTGGCTTCGGCTGCTGGTTGAGGATCTTCATTTCATCTCGAATGTCGTAGAATATGGTTGAGTCGATTCTCCTTGGAGTCCTGAGGTAGGCGGACTAGAGCATTATCAATTGGATTTCAGAGAGTCATTTTTTCCCTGACAAATCCGGCACCTCTCCCAACGGTTTATAGCCTTATCGTGGCTGGGAGGTGTTCTTGTGTGCCGGACTGCGAGATGCAGCGGGAGATTTATCTCCATCAGGGCCTTCCAAGCTAAGAAGGAGTCCAGAGTTTTCATCAGGAAGCCTAGCTAAAAGTAAACCAATACTAGGATCCACCACCGTTCTGGTATCAAAGTCGCATGGTGGTAAATATCCCTTTGAACTGCAAGGGCTGCGACTGCCTGTGGTGGTCAAGACCTGGGGCATACTTTGACCAGGCGGACCTCGGTACTTCAGGGAAACACAGTGGCTTAACCAGCAAATCTCTGAAAAAATGGAGATTATGCTGGGACCCACACAATAAAGTGAGGACGGGCCATTCAAGTATCGAGTACTAAGTAAGTCTGGCACCAAATTCCTGACTCCGGTAGGATGAGACGCTTGGTGAGATAGCAGAAAAGGTATTACGAAATGATTTCTGTTCTGTTGTTTTTTCATTTTCCTTTTTGTTTGCTGAATCGTCTTTTTCAGCCTCTTCGTCTTTGTTGTTTTTCTGAACTGACAGTATCCAAATTTTAGCGACGTTACTTAAGTGTTACATGAAAAACGGGGACTCGCGAAGGTATTTGCACCAACTTCCGCTCATTTCATATCATCTCACTTTCTGATTTCGTGGTGGTTTTCGTTTCGTTGTCTTCTGCACTCATTTTTTTTTCGGTACCCGTCTGTGTCTAAATAGTTTTTCTTCTTAAAGGTGTAAATCGCTCGGCGTCGACTCTCCCGTGGTAATGCAGTGTGCATTCGACTCCATTCGTAGTATCACAGAAAACTGGAGCGCTCATCTGGACTATGAAATGATTTGTTTAGGACTACCGATGAATCAAGTCAGTGTTTTTACCGTACCACACAGGTCTGGTAGCAATTTCCCAACCTTTGAGGGAATGAAAGCTTTGTTATTGCGGGGTGCAAGATCGAACTAAAGACCGTGTGAATCGCAGGGAAGTCCTAAATATTGTACTGTATGCGTGTAATTTTTTGATAGAACCATGAAAATACACTGTGAACAATATTTTGAGGACAAATATAGAAGTATTAGTTCCTTTCTCAGCGTGCATAAAAAATCCATTAAAGCCTAGTCAAACGTGCCCATAGTTGCACTTATTCTGTTTATCGTTCAAATATTTTGTAGTGCTCCCGCATCCATCTGGGAATTCAAGGAAATTTTTAGCACCTGTAAATTGCTCATCGCTACACCGGCTATCATCGATACGCCCATTGTTAGAACTCCACCAATGAGAGCGTCAGGAATTGAAGCCAACAATGCTGCGACTTTTGTGAATGAGCCGAAAGCTATCAGTAGAATACCGGAAACTTGCATTACGGTACGACTAGCCACCTGAAATAACTCCATACGTCATTTGATGAACGGTAGTTTACTCTTTCCTCCCAGACGACGGCCCCACTGGTTGACAATCTTGACAAGCACTCACTCTCGTTATATGTATAAGGGCGATGTTCTCCGCATAGGTGGTGACAGCAGTGCATACGCCCATGCCTGCTGCCATCATGCTACCTAGCCCTAAAATGAAAATGTACACTGGAAAGTATTTCCAAAGGTGCTTCCAAAATCAGTGTATACGTAAAGCTCTCTATGGGCAATAACAATGTGCGCGTAGCACAGTGGTTAGGTGAAACCCGCACTACACAGTTGATCTTTGGTTCAATCCCGTGCTGGAGGTTAACCGACCGTTCTCGGATCAGCAGAATAATTCTACACCTTTATGGGAGGATATTAGCACCCAATATATCAGCAAACCAGCATGAATGATTGGATAAACTAAATAGTTTTTCGAAACCGATTTTCCTTGAACTTCGGTATCATTAATCAATATGTATTCTATCTTTGATGAGCTTACACGAGGTTGATAATGATATTTATTTATTTTCGGCTAACGTTTCGACGTCTTCGTCTTCCTCAGAGCCGATGATCCGAGTCGATGGTCCATGCTTGTTGTTCGTCTCGACGTTGCAGCTTCGCCTTCGTGTCGAGTCAGG